TTTTAACATTTTCTAATGGTGGTGTGCCTCGTGATTTTTTTCATGAAAAAAGTGTGCCTTTGCACAAAAAAGGTTGAAAAACACTGAGCTAGAGAACATATGCCTGTAAAGCATTATGTAGCTATAATAATCTTTTCCATATGCTTGATATAAAATGAGTTTGTAATATATCTATTCCTTATGCTATTAAGAGTATTGTGTAGCAGAAATCAATTATTTTTTCTACATCCTTGCCCTGGAGTTGAGGTTTTGGAGCCTACTTTGTATACTATCTCTGTTAGGAACTGAAGCACAGCCCACAGCACAGCTTCACACTGGCTAGGGATTTTGAGAGCACAACTACAGCACATCTGAGCGTGCCTAACCGGGAAAGTTGCTATATGCTGATACTAAACCCCTTTTGTCAAAGATTTTTTCCCTTTTAATATCTTTAATATCATTTAATGATATTTAATATCATTTTGTTACTATACTACAAAAGAAACAAAAGCATATGTATGTATTTTAGTTGGAAAGGCAGAGATTGTATTTATTTAAAAGATTTATATGGCTGCCCATCTTAAGCAATTCTGGCAGCTTAAAACATCTATAGCTAGAAGGAGTGACTATATTACTCCCTATTTTGTAATATATTGGTGCAATGTCTGTATTACATGATTCATTCTCCTTATTTCTGAGCAATGTTTGACCTCAGCAACCATTATATTCTTTTAGATTACTCATCCGAGTTTGTATGGAGGCAGTACTTGATAGTGGCTCTCTTTTACTATTCTCTGGATAGGAACTTCCAGAGAGTGGCTGTGAGAAAGTAGTATTCAACCCCTCGGTAATCATGGCTGCTGGGCGTTTGCACGGGTTCATGAGAGCTCTAGCTAAGATTCTGTACAGTTCGGAGAACCCCCCAAATCCCACTCCTGGTTGCCCCCACCCACCTCTCAGGAGCCCCCACTCAGCCCGTTTTGAATGCAGCTAAGTGCAGGATGCATGGAGTGCATGGAGGCTCGGGGAGGGTGAAAATTGGGCCTACCAGACATTCGGCCTCCAGAGGGCCTCCGGAGCCTGGGAAGGCTATTTTCACACTCTTGACGGCTCAAGGGAAGCCACAGGAGTCTGGGGAGGGCAAAAATCCCCCCCCCNTCCGCCTCCTCCAGGCCTGACTCATAGGGCCCCTCGCTGTCAGAGTCTGATAGCAGCTCCAAAGGCTCCTGCCGAGCCACAACACTATCCCTCACTGCAGGGCCCTTCCCCCGGGTCTGATGGTCAGGATGCGGTCGGGATGGGTTGTCCATATGATAGGCTCGCAATCATCTCCTGTATTTCCTCCTTTGTCCTTTACGCTGAGTAGACCTCAGCCTGCTTGCCTCCTGATATAACTCCCAAATACTTTCAGGAACATTCCCTTTGATCCAATGCTCTCCCGCCACCTGTTGGCCAACCAGTCTCTCCTCGCCCTGCTCGGCATCGACACCCTGTCCAGGGTCCTCCACCTCCTCCAAGACCAACTCATCAGCCCCATTGCTGTCGGGGTCTGGCGGCAGCTCTAATGGCTCCTGCCGGGCCACAACACTATCCCCCACCGCAGGGCCCACCGATGCTCGGGATGCGGCCCGGAAGGGTTGGTGATGGCCTCCACGGGACACGGTCCAAGACACTGGTGGCCGGCCGGGATCCTAGAAACGAAGTCCTGTGCTGCGGGGACCGGGGTCGGCAAGGGCTGTAATCTTGGAGAAGCCCTCCTTGCAGACCTGGCCCTTTGACACTGGACACACGACACCACGCACATCCGCATGTCATTTCTTAAGCGGGGCCACCAAAAAGTATGGGATACCAGGCGCAATGTCCGGAAAAACCCCCAATGTCTTGCTGCGGGAGCGTCATGAAACTGAGAGGGCACCCGTCTATGGATGGGCCCTGCGGGAACATAGAGCCGATCCTGATATTTCAAAAGATCCCCCTCCAAAGTCCATGGGGAAGCCTGCCCTACTTCCGCCTTTTGTCGCTCCACCCATTCGTCACCCCGCTGTGCATCCCGTATCAGAGACCGTATGCTCACGGGATGATAAACTGCAGCACAGGATGCAACGGGTAGAACAGTCCGGGGTGGAAGCGAGTCCGCAGGGTCAGAGTTCTCCGATTTCCTAGGCAGGGCATCCGCCCTTTCATTCCACACACCATGGATGCACATTACCTTGTGCAAGTGGGGTACCAGAGCTGCAGAAACGTGCCGGTTTCCCTACACGATAGTTCATTGCTGAGGGAAGGCCGCAGGCCGCGCAACCCTCCTACTATTCTTGGGGCAACTCCCTGCCAGGTTTCCAGGATCTGCACAGTAAAAACACAACCCCTCAGCACGTTGTCTGTCCATCTCAGTGCGTGACACTCGGGGTCTGACAGCACCCAACTCCATGGGCTCCTCCCATTCAACTGCACTCTCTTGATGAACCGGCATACTAGCGGTCTCCTGGAATGCACGGCAAGGCCTCCGCCTCTGTAGCCAGGCGTCTATCCGGAGGCACAAGTGGACCAACACGTCGAACGTCGGTGGCCTGTCCACCCTCGCCAGTTCATCCTGTAAGGCATCAGACAANGTTTCGTTATTCAATTATTTCTTCAAACTGCTGATCGTTGCATCCTGGCTGGAAGAACTCCAACAGGGGAGTATTTCCTCCCAACAGCAGTGTAAAAAGCCCCAGCAAATTACCAGCAAAGAAAGAAAAAAACAGCAACCTCCGGAGAAGCTCAGGCGACAGTAAATCTGGGCATACTCCCAAGAACATTTAGCTGTTACAATGTAATAAGGGTTAACGGAGAGGCATTTTCTGTAAGCAGGGCATTAAAGATTAGGCTAGAAACAACACCAGAATGTTTCCTTCCTGCCTTCCTTACAGGATTAGCCCTGTAAACTGGAAAAAACAAAAGGAGATTTCTTCCAACATCCGATTCTCCGAACTGCTGAGAAAGTTAACAACCGGTTCTGCCAAATAGTTAAGAACTGGTTGAATCCCACCATTGTCTGCAACCTCTGTTTCTGATTCCCACGTCTGGCTGGGTGGAGTGTCCTAGAAACTGGCCTCCCTGAACTGCTCCCGCAGGATGTCCATGGTACTGCTACCAGGGGCTGTTGAGTAACTCCACTCACCATTATCATCGTTTGTCAAAGGGTTGCACTAGGTGGGGTAGGCACTCACGGCCCTGAACTCCCAGCCACAGAAGTGCTATGCCACAACTCCCATGAGGGGGGCGGTGCCTTGCTGGTCTCAGGCCCCTATTGGCTCTCCGTCGGCTGCGCCGCACACCTTGCCTCACTATCCTTTGGTCTCATAACTGGTTGAGCACTGTCCCCAGACGCCTCTGGTTCTGACTTGGTCGCCTCATCCTCCTCAGTGGGCACAGCCTCAGCCACCTCCACCACCATTCATTCAGCTATCGTACCAGACTATTCTCTCCTTCCCAACCTGTAAACACCAGGAACAAGAAGGAGAAGGAAAAAGAGAAGAGAGAGAGAGAAAGAAAATGAAGGAGTGCTGATTTTCTGTCAAATGGTCCAGGCCCGCACCAGGGAGAAGTCAAACAAATGCACAGGAGACAAGCTTTACTTCGCCATGCAAAGTTGATCACAATACACAGGTCCGTGCAAAGTCAGCTCTGGGAGTTATTGCCTCCCAGTGCGTTTTATGATCTGGGTCCATGCCCCTAAGCAGCCTACCATGCCTACTGGCCAGCAAACATCTGGCCACCGGCAGCCAGCATCTGACTGCGTGGGCTCCAGGCCATCGGCAAAGTCTGGAAGGAGTCCACAAAGGAAAACAGCTGATGGCGTTCTGCTCCTGGAAGCCCCGATGCCACCACAGCCACCTCGGGCCGCAATGTTGGTGTCCCCACAACTCCTGTTGCCCATTGGCATGGCCTGTCTCCCAACTTCATTCCGGTGTGCCGCTGCCACCAGGTCCAAATGTGAACAGCTGACGGGCGGCCGCCACTGGAGCTGCCACCACTGAAGCTGCCACAGTTCCTCTCCCCACTGAAAAGATCATCTCCGTGCCCCCCCCCCCATCACCACCAGAACTCCCAGGTATGGCCCTGAAGCGGGACTCAACAGCAACAAAAGGAAGAAATTTCAAATAGAAGTAATTATTAGAGCAGGGGTGTCAAACTTGTTTGACCTTGAGGGGGGCAGGGGTGTGACCAGGTTGGCCATGACCAGCTTGATGTCACTTGTGTCAGCACCTGTGCTGGCCTGGGCGAGGATGGGGGGCGGGGGTTTCCACTTTTGATAGTAAGATCCTAACGAGCAACAGCTGCTCGTTATCATCTCCTGTGAGTCCTCAATTGTTCCTTACATTGGTCAGCCCTTCTCCTGCNCATCAAAAATGCAAGATTTGGTCTAGCCAGCACCAGGCAGGCTAGGATAGTTGCTGCTAGAGTCACCACATCGATGACTCTGCTAAAAAAATTTAAAATAGCCTCTAAACAAAGTGCCCTCTGCAGGAGGAGGCGGGAGAATCACGTGCCTCATTTGCATAAGGAATTTTTCACTTTTTAACCCTTGGTTAACTCTTAAAAGGCGAAAAAATTCCTTATGCAAAGGAGGCCCATAGTTCTCTAGCCTCCCCCTACAGTTAGCACTAAGCAGACTCAGAGTCACTGTGTCTTGGAGTCTGCGAGCAACTACCCTGGCCTTTTTAATTATTTTAAAAAATTCTTTCCTTTTCTTCCTGAGACTGGTGAGGCCCCGCCTCCCTTGCCTCTAGTGACTGCATGTCACTGACATGAAGCATCACAATATTTCTTCTGACATAACACACTACAACAGCCAATTGAACAAAGGGTTATCATCACTGGAATGTTCCCAGTGATATTTGCTCACCACCAAGGAGCTGTGATATTTTGGTATCAAATAAAGGCTTTTCTGCTCTTCAGGCTGTTTACTCTTGTAAATTTGGGGCTGCTACAATTTTATTTGGTTTATTGTGAGTTTTGTTTTGTGGTTGAGTATTTTTCCTATTGTAAGGTGTATATACAAACTTACTTCAACATAGAGTTTTTCACGGTATTTTTCCTGCACAATTGGATCGACTTGTTCTCGGCGTAACTGTAGTTCTGCTTCCGAAGATTCAATTGAAAAAGATATAGCATCCTTTGCTTCCTTTGTGAGTGCCCTTATTTTCTTCTCTTCCTTTCCTTTGCCTTTTCGGCTATTTGTGCGTTCTTGCTAAGAAAGATGAAATTATGCCAAACAGAGATCAGAACAATCTGGTTTGCATAGCTTCAAATACCACAGTGTGTATATCTGAAACCAAGAGTACTTTCAGTAAAGAGTTAACTCAGATGAAAAAAAAGTATAAAATTCTTTTTATCTTTCATAAAGAATCTTGCAGTTGTGAAATCTGAATTCTCAGAACCTTATATAATATCCCCAGAATGTCACCCCCAAATTGCTATTACCCTGTAATTTTTAATGTGAGAAAAGGGAATGGAAGGATATGTGGAAGATAATCACACTAACTAATCTATTTAATATAATTTGTATTAAATTCAAATGAAATCAAATACAGTGGTTTTTCCTGCTTCCACCCACTTTTCAATTCAATTTTGCTTATTTTTTGCATTGACATTCTCTGTTTACCACCCACAGGCCAAATGTAGTCTTTAGCCTGAAATAGATTGCATAATGCAGTTTTATCTGATTAAGCTTCATTTTCTATATTAATTTTGAAGGTACCAATCATATATCTACCTCTTTGGTTGCCTTTCCTTTTTCCTTTTCCTTCGAAGCAGTTTTCTTATCTTCTTTCTGCACTTTCCGATCTTCTTTGACAGCCTTTGCAGCAGCTGATTTTACATCAGCTGCAAAAATAAGCAAAATAAATTTCTTCCATTTAGTGTTAACAATTATTTTACTGGCCTTTCTGATTAGTGAAACCACCTTCTGGCAAGCAGTAAGCTGGAAACACTAGTAAAAGTTTAAATGCAATTTAGGAAATAGGATGATATTGACTTTATACCTGAATCAAGCAGGGACTGTCCACCATTTTTAATGTTACCTACCTGTACATTTTCTTAGAGTCTGATCTATTGAATTGATAGGCAAACTTACCTAGTTCTTCTGGAGCAGTTTCAACGTAAGTATCTTTCTCAGGCATACCAAGCAGATTTCTGAGCACTAACGAGCAGTTCACCAGCCCATCAATTACTTCCCTCCACAACTGGAAACTAATGCAGGGAAGAAATCTGATTTTATTTCTCTTTGAAAGGAGAGACAAAGGAGAGCAAGCCAAAATTCTGTCATTGCTTTTTTATGGCTTTCTCTAAATCAAAGGCAGACCCAAATTTACAAGAGCTGTTGTTAATTTAAATAAAACATTTTTAGTTATTCTCCCAAGGCACTGTTTCCTAAATATGTGAGATTTGTAGCACAAGGTTTTTGTTTTCAGAATAAATGTAATTAAAAAGAGATGTCAATTGCATCAGATTTATTATTATTCACCCTGTTCCTTAAGTAATAATCCATATATAAGGAAAAAAGATTTGGGAACAAAACAAGTGTTTTATACACAAAACCTCTAGTGGGAGAATCTGACTGCCCAACAACCCTGTTTAAAAAATATCAATGCCAGTCATCTTAGAATGGAAAGTGGCAACCATGGAGTATTAACTCATATATGGATGTATAGGAAAGCTTGTAGGAATGAAAATAATTTCATCATTGGGGATAAGCGAATGATCTAAAAGCCCAATGCAGAGAAACAGCAGAATAATTCCACTAACAAAGGAAAGATGTAAGGCTAGAATAACAAACTACGTGGAGATGCAGGAGACACTGTATGGCTGGATCCCTTGAGGGCCTTTCATTTAATTCATTTTTCACAAAATATTCAGATACTGTATTTAACATGTCTACTTCCATTTTGACAACTGCTGCTCTTCAACAATCGTTGGCTTTCAAAAACGTTGGGAAATTGACTGAGTGACATCATTTGGGGAACTGAGTGACATCATTTGGGGAACTGAGTGACATCATTTGGGGAACAAAATAACAATTTTTGTTTTTTTAAAAAGCATTTCTGAAGTTGGAGAGTTAAAGGATCTACCTACCTACCTACATACATACATACATGCATATATCAATTTTACGAAAACGTGTGTGTGTGTGTGTGTGTGTGTTCTGACCCCCCCCCCTCTTCTCCGCCAGGAATGAAAGCCAAAAGCCACGTAACTCAAAAGGTTTCTTTTAATCAGTCCCAGCTCTTGCTGGCTGCGAGGCCAAAATAAACANATATATATATATATATATATATATATACTCTTTTCTTTCAAAAGTAAAGGAAGGCACAAAAGCATATCCTTTAGATCCTAATCAATAAGGAGAACTAAGGGAATATAGAGACAATTTAATGTGTTTTCCACCAGTCTGTGAGGCAACACAAAGAATGCCAGCATCAATTTGTTCTGTATTGATAGCCAGCCCTCTACTATGCCCTGTTAACAAGACAGATATGTGATGCTTTTATCAGTTTTATTAAGAGTCAAATTAAGGTACAGTGATTTGTACCCTATTTTCCCTCCCACCTGCCAGGCAGGAAAAACAAGCACCAACTGCCTTCATACTAGGAAGGGTGGGGGAACCCTCTCTGGAGGCAGGGAGAGCTGGCAACTAGAGGAAGGGTGGGGAGCGAGCTTGGTAATTTTCAAAGCAGGACCTTCCAGGCAGAATTTGGTAGGCGAACAGCAGCTGTTTCCTCGGGTCACTCAAGCGCTCTTTTCTTTCTGTGAAATTATGGCCCTTGCCAATAGTTGTAAGATGCATCTAGTTGTTGTTGTTGTTGTTTTGTGCATGTGGGGGGGAAACTCTTTCTTCTTCCACTGTGCTCCTTGCCTCATGGCCAGAAGCAATTTACTAATCTTTCCCTCCTTTCCCTGCAGTGATTCTCCAGCCCATAACTCTGCTGCTGTTAGGATGACATGCACTTCTAGAAAGACACTGATTTCTTTCTAAAGTAGGGGTGTCAAATTCGTGGCCCCACATTGTCATCACATGACATATCGCAACTTCTCCCCCCTTCGCTAAACCAGTGGTGGGCGTGGCCAGCGCATGACGCATCCGGCGCATGCGTCGTGAGTTTGATACCTCTGTTCTAGAGCTTTTTCATCCTACATGATAATTGGTCAAGGCTTCTTCATTTTGTTGGCTCTACCATCTAGCAGCACTGATCCATTCTGAAGCTTTCCGAGATTTAGTGATGGTTTCATTATTACTGCAAAAGTTCAAGATGCAAAAGCAGCTGATTAAGAATGGGCAAGGATATCCTCCAGACCAAATCAGGTTGTGATTTTCTTCTCCTAATCTTCCCAAGTTTTTTTTCCCTAAATGTGATCAGGGGAAGGAAGGCAGAAGCAATTGGAAAAGAGGAGCATACCCACAGCCACCAAACACAATTATCAGAGGCTGGACAGATTTCAGTTGCTGTTGCATTATCATCACCACAGTTACTTCTGAACCAGCACATATGGTACATTTGCAAGGTCTGTTTTGGAAGAAGATAGAAAACACCACTTTATAACACTTGGCTATAGGCAAGGGGGAAGAGGAAGCATGTGTCCTTCAATATAACTTCAAGCTAATATCAGGAACTATGGATATGCCCTTAGTCAAGGAAGTGGAGGTTACAGGAACAGTGAGGGAACGTGATTGGCATGTGCTGGAATTCTTGATTATAAAGGAATTTAAACCTGAGTATAGTTAGATTTGAAACATTTAAAAAGCAGATTTTTATACTTTCAGAGCAATGAAAAATAGTCACTTCAAAATTAAATGAGATCAGCAGCAAATAAATTTAATAAAAAATAGGATTCCAAGACAGGAAATGCTACCAGAAAATGGAACTTGAGATTTGTGGGAATTTCTAACACCCATGCTACAAAAGCAAACTATTTGCAGCATTGTATTGGGACGTCAAAAAGGCGAATGTGATTTTATGTTGTATTGACAGACTTATAATTTTCAGTCACAAGGTGATTTGGCCAGATACCATCCTAAGTACTGTTTCCAGTTCTGGATGTCACACTTTAAGGATTCAGATAAACTGGAACAGGTTGAGAGAAAAATAATTAAGGGATCCAAAACAATCTTAGGAAAAGTAATTGAAGGAACTTGTTATGTTTAACTCTGAGAAAAATGAGGGAGGACATGATCGAAATACCAAAAAGGGCATCGAAATACCAAAAAGGGCATCATATAGAAAATTAGGACTTCACTCTTCTCCTTGCAGAGTGGAGATCTGGAAAAAATGGTTTCAAGCTGCAAGAAGGCAAATTTTGTTTGAATGTGAGAAAAAAATCCAACAGAAAGATCAGTTTGACAATGGAACAAATTACACACTGAAGTGATGATCTTTCTTTGGCTATCTGTGTTTGAGCAGGGTTAAATATCATCTTTCAGTGATATTTTAATCATTCATGGATGGAGCAGGAAGTTGGAGATAATGACATAAATGACCCCTTCCAATTCTATGTCTGGGTGATTAAGATAAAGGACTCATTGACGTTACTTATGTTTGAAGTTGGCTGAAAGGTACACAGCAGAAAGAGGAAAGGGGCTTGCAAAAACCTCTGTTCATATTATATCTCTCTGAGACAAAATGGCTGAGACATTTATTGACTTCCATGGCAACAATGGCTCTATCAGCATGGCAAAGTAGGTGTTTGAGAGCTGTAGGCACCCAATAATCAAATAAAAATCATAAAGTACCCTTATAGTCAGTTATACGATGGTGATTGTAGGAACTAGATATTCCCACACAACACATATGGGCAAGCTGTAGACCACATATGGCTCTCAATTGCTCTCTTTGTGGTCTATCATCACTCCCCTTACTTTTTCTCCATCGTCCAGCAGTTCAGCCATGAGATGGGCTGCCAGGAACAGATTGTTTCTGAGTGTAATCAGAACAGGAAAATTGCAAGCTTAAGCCTAAGATAGTGAAGCAGTTAAAGTCTCTGTTCCCATACCTCATTGCTCCTTAGTGACAATGATGTTTCTGTTGCTGATAACAGAAGTGGAACTGTGAATTTGATAAGGACTACTGAATAGAGGCCTTAACCTCATGAGAAAGAGAAGAGGAGAGGAAAAGAGAGAGAGAATGAGCCCAGTATAGACTGTAGATGGATAAATAAATTCCACTCACTTGCACAGCTCTTAAAAGATTTCCATTGGGCTAATGTGGTTACCAGGGACATGGTGGCTCAGTGGCTAAGATGCTGAGCTTCTTGATCAGAAAGGTCAGCGGTTCGAATCCCTAGCGCTGCGTACTTGTCCCAGCTTCTGCCAACCTAGCAGTTCAAAACCATGTAAAAATGCAGGTAGAAAAATAGGAACCAACTTTGGTGGGAAAGTAACAGCATTCCATGCGCCTTTGGCATTTAGTCATTCCAGCCACATGACCATGGAGATGTCTTTGGACAGCACTGGCTCTTCAGCTTTGAAACGGAGATGAGCACCACTCCCTAGAGTTGGGAACAACTAGCACATATGTGTGAGGGGAACCTTTACCTTTACTTTAATGTGGTTACCAAAGTTTACCTCCATATACCATCAATATGGTAAAATGTTGGCTTCATATACCTAGTAAATATTTTTCAGCTGGCAAAAGAACTTACTGTATTCAGATAGATTTGTCCAGACAAAAGCCTGCAGGAGAGACAAAATTAATCTCTAATATTTCATAAATAAAACTTCTCTGATACTATTTATATGTGTGTACATATATAATTTATTTCATTATTAAATTACCAATTAGACAAAGGGTGCTTTAGTCTTCTCTAGAGCATTCTTTTTTACCGTCTCAAAGAGGAAAACCATTTTGTTCACCATTGAATTCAGCAGTCCATAAACCTGAATGAAAGATCAAATTCAAATAAGCTTTCGTTTATTTAGAAGTAAATATTCAGTCTATTCTATGTGGACATACAATGAACCAAGCCTACATATATTTACAAATTATTTTACTCTTCCAGAACAAACATTGCCAGGGAGGGTATTATGTAATAGTTTGTCCCACACATTTGGTAACTATTTTGTTGCTTCATACCTGAATGTAATGTACAGTTCCTATCTGAAAATTACTGACACTGAAATCCAATAAACAATACATCTGAAGGATGCTAAATTAGAGAAGTCAGCTAGAGCAGTGTTTTTCAACCACTGTGCCGCGGCA